TTTTTTTTTTTTTTTTCAGATTACGCGGGTGGAATTTTTTTGGGGCTAGCCGGATGGATCGCTTTTATTTTCAAAGAAATTTTTACTGTTTGTTGGCTATAATATAATATCCTTTTATTTTTGGACAGGTAGAGTGAGTATTAAATTACAAATTTGACATTACAAATATAAAAAAGTAAATGTATTGTAGGTATTTCATATTTTTACAGATTCATTGACACTTTTATAATAGTATATATAGATAGATAGATAGATAGATAGATAGATATAGATATAGATATAGATAGATAGATAAAAAATATATTAGTTTTAGTTTATTATGTCGATACTTGTTTAATAATTTAGTAGTATTTATTTTGTAGTACTTACTTTGTAGTGTTTTATACTTTTTACATAAATTATAATCCACGAGCCAATTGGGATTCATAACCACGAGCCAGGATCGTCTAATCTGATCATCAGTCCGATTAGTCTAGTTGAGAATGGTATGANTGTTAAATAATTTAATATTGTATATTCAGAAAATTTAAAATCTTGTAAATCTATTACAAAATAAAAAATTAATAATAATAAGATTTTATTTGTATAGCCGTCATTTAAATGCTGGTAATAAAATTTTTTATTAAATGAAGTCTTATTTTTATTAATTACTGGTTGAATATAATTTATTGAAACTTGCCAGCAATTATATATATAGATTATTATTATTATTATTATTATTATTAGTATTAGTATTATTATTATTATTATTATTATTATTACTACTTTGGTGGAAATTGTTAGAACAAGTAATGTGTACAAAATAAACTAGTTTTTGATCCTGCGCACATGCACAAATGTTTAAAAAAATTCTTAATGAGATGCACAATAAAAGTTTAAGAAAAAAATTGCAATATAATTTTTTATACTTATTGATTTTCCATATATCATTTAGTGTGAATTTAATTGGTTAGTTTTAAAAACAACTATTATATAATAGAATAATTGAAAAATATGATTATAGTTTAATTAATCATTATGTTAAAATAATCATTGATTAGATTTCAATTACATGTTAAAAAAAAGAAAAATGGATTGTAACAGAAAAAAGCAGAGAACCCATATTTTACTTAAATTATTTACTAGCAATTATATATATATATATATATAGAGAGAGAGAGAGAGAAGGGATCATATGAAAATGACTCTTAATGTGAGAAATGAGAATAAGTTTGGACCATGGGACCCAGCATATCAATGGTTATGATGAAGTCAAAATATGGTCAATCATTAATGGCAATCTGGTAATTATTGACTATAGTTTGATCAAATATGTGTATTTGACCAATAATTGAGGGTAAGGTGGTAAATAAATATATCAAGTGGGACCCACTCATTAAATCAATTCACCACAAAGTTTTCTCTCTCCTCAACAAGTTTTCTCTCTCCTCAATGCATCTTCTCCATTTTCACGATATGAAGAAACGCACACAGTAAACACACACACACACAGTCCCGCAGTCCAACCACCACATCGTCGCCGCCTTTCGCCAACATCCATCCGTTCTCGCCCACCTTCTGGCCACCGGAGCATCTTCACGCAGCCGCCTCCGCCTCTACCTGTACCTGCACAACCACCACCGCGTCTCATCTCGCCGCCGGCTTTCTACTTGTCGGCGCTTTTCAGCTCGCCGTCGTCCGCTTTCTCAGCTTGTCGTCCCCATTCTCAGCCCACCATCAGCATCCCGCCACTGCCATCGCCACCGCACAAAACCAGTCCGCCGTCGAGCACCTCCATCACCACCCGCCTCCGGCAACGTTGCGGCCGTCACTTCCAGACCGACGCCCTCTTCCAGCCCTTTCCGTCCGTCGTCCACTCATGCCGCCTCCATCAACGTCGCGGCCGTCGGCCGTTTTAATGTCGTGAACCTTCATCTTGGCCGCTCGCCGGAAAAATCGCCGGTGAACGTCGGCGGCGAGTAACAGGCCAACGTCGGCCGGCAAAGACCACTGTGGTTTTGGCCGAATATAGCAATCATATGATGTGTGTTTGTTTGAGTTTGGGTCATTTGTGTGAGAATTTGATTTAATCTAGGGGCCTAATTGCAATTTATAAAATTTTATTTTATTTCAATTGAGTACAATTGGGAAATTGATAATATAGTAAGAGTTTAATACATACACAATAATGCATAAAATTCACTATATTGATTTTTTATATTTCAATAGAAAATCATAGCTTAATATTTGTATACAAAAAAAATAATAATAATAACAATAATAATAATAATAATTTTTTTAATATAATTTTGTTTTTATTTTAGTTATTTAAATAAAAAAATATCATCGTATCGACAATACTCGATATATAAAATAATAATAATTATAATCGAAACAAAATATAAATTTTCGTACCGAATTTATGTTCGTTGGATCTCGTTTGATTTTGTGCAATATGGTAGACGTTTATGTGCAATTAGTATAACCATTATGTGCATTCGCAATACATATAAGAATATTAAAAAAATTATAATTTTGTATTAAAATATATAAATAAAAAGAATTGATAATAATTTTCATATAGTTCGTCATGTTCAGTTATTTTATTTATTTAAAAAGACTAAATTCGACATTTAACCAATTAATTTATTCAATCGATTAGTCGAATTACCGTATTTTTCGGTACGCGTAGTTTGTTGTTTATAAGTTGTAACATGTCGTGTTATAAAGTGCAATGTATTTCCGTATACAGTGCAACATATTGATGTATAAAGTGCAATTATGTATATATGTTTTTTAGATTTATACCGCGTAATATCTTTGGCGGGAGCTATGTTGATAAAGTGCAACGTGACGTCTTATAAAGTGCAACGTGTTGTTTTATAAAGTGCAACATCCTGCTATATAACGTGCATTAATTAATAAATTATATGTATTCGAAAACTATTTAATAGGTATAATTGTACATTGAATTAACTTAAATCATTAAAATGTCTTTTTATTTGCTATTTTTTATTATATAATTTACTCATTACTATAAAATTTTTTTATGCTATTTTAATATTTTATATTATTGTTATTTAATAATTTTTTTATTATTTACCGTATTCTAGATTTATACCGCACAATATTTTTGACGGAAGTTGTTGACGTTAGTTTATGTTGATAAAGTGCAACATGACGTCTTGTAAAGTGCAACGAGATGTTTTATAAAGTGCAACATTCCACCATACAAATTGCACTAATTTATACCTTCCCATATAAATAATGTACATTCGAAAATCATTTAATAGCTATAATTGTACATTAAAATTACTTAAATAATTAAAATATCTTTCATTTATTATTTTTATTATATAATTTATTTATTATTATAACACATTTTTATATTATTTTAATAATTTTACATTATCTTTATTTTATAATTTTATTAATTATTTAATAAATGCACAACAAAAATGTAAGAAACAACTTTTATTAATTTTAAATAATTACAGATTTGACCCATGAGTTAAATTGAAATATAATTAAAATTGATAAAATTGCAAATAGAACCATGTACATAACCTAATTCTCAAAAACATGCCCAAATCACACACAATTTCAGTTTCGAGAATCGTTTCCTCCCTCGGAGATGGCGAGGTTCGAGCTGCAGAATCTCATTTCCTCCAATCCGATTTCCGGTGACAGGACTAGATCCAAGGTGACGGAGGTCGACGGAGGTTGGCAGGCGGGACGAGGTCGTCTTCTCCGGCGGGAAGCTCGTCTTCTCAGCGGGACGAGGTCGTCTTCTCCTGCGGGACAGCTCGTCTTCTCCGGCGGGACAACTCGTATTCTCCGGCGGGACGAGGTCGTCTTCTCCTGCGGGACGAGGTCGTCTTCTCCGGCGGGATAGTTCGTATTCTCCGGCGGGACGAGGTCGTCTTCTCCTGCGGATTTGAGAGGCATGGTCGGATTTGAAAGGCATCGACGGGCACTGGCGTTCACGGGTATCGGCCGGTGAAGAGCGGTGGACGGTGTCGGACTGCGGCGGCGCTCTGTGGAGTTGCCGGTGGCTGTCAGATTTTGGGCCGTGAATGTGTGTGTGTAGATTGTGTGTGTGTGTTTGTGTGTGTGTGAGAGAGAGATAGTGTATGGTGAGCGTGAGGTGGGGTGGAGTAGGGTGGGGTTGGTGGAAGGTGCATTAATGTGGTTTAATGTGGTGGGTGGGTAATGTTAGTGACGTGGATTATTGTGAAAGGGGGCCCACCTGTTTGGGGTGGTGTGAAAATTACTCCAATATCCTTATTGAAGGTATAATTTTGACTCTTTTTTAGACATTAGATCATCCGATCCAATGACTATAATTTATTCTCATTTTTCGCATTAAGCTTCATTCTCATGTGAGCGCGACCCTATATATATATATGGTTGAGTTCAAATAAAAATGGTGCTTAGTGAAAGAAATGAGAATAAATCGTGGCCACTAGATCGGATGATCCAATGGATAAAAAGAAAGCCAAAATTATACATTCAGTAAAGGTAATGAGGTAATTTTCTACACATCACACATCACACAAAAACAGTGGGCCCCATTACATATTTAATTCACTCTAACAACCCCCAATCAATGAATTGAACCGGTCAACTCCTACCCCACCCCCACTCCACCCCACCCCACAACCACACCAGACTCTCTCACACACTATACACACACCACACACACACACAACACACCCGTCACAGTCACGTCGGGAAATCTCAGCC